TTAAATTATATTTTTTATATAATAATAATATTACTAAAATTAATATTTAATATTTTATAAAGAAATTAACAATTTTTGTTAATTTCGCAGGCAAATTTGCCTGCTAGACAATCTAAAGGATAAATGTTTAATTGTATTTTATTTAATACATAAATTAAAATGGTATATTTATATATATATTAAATATATAAATTTATTAAATATAATTAATATGATAAAAATATAATTAATTAAAGATATTAATAGCAAACAAAATATAAAAAAATAAAAGATATTAAGATTTTTATATAAAAAATACTATTTATAAAACTTTTTATTTATTTTATATTTTGTAAAATAATCAAAGTACTTATTTGCAAATTCATATAATTTTTATTTTTTATTTTTTATGATAAATATTTTTAATCTTATAAAACTTTAAAATAATCAAATAAGTTTTTTTAAGAAAATAATTTATTTTAAAGAATAATTATTTTCTTGAAATTACTCTAAATTATATTTGAAAAGGATTTTAATAACATTATAAGAAAGAAGCATTCAAAATCGAAAAAGATTTCAATAAAACTAAACTGAATATTTTCAATTTAGGTTACAAATAAAATTATTATCACTTTTGATACACGGAGATATTTTTCCAATAATTTGTAAACCTATTATTAGCATTATACTTTTTTTTTCTTTTAACAGCCTTTTTCGAACTAATCATATGATAAAGTAAATCAAAATTTTGGGATAGTTAAAATGACAAATTAAAATTGGTTTTGATTGGCCAAATAAGTTAATTTTTAATTTGTAAAATTTATAGTTTGAAATGCAAGGACTTTTCTTAAATTGTAAACATTATACAAGGTTACAAAGTGTGAATTTGTGCAAAGGTTACATAAAATTATGCATGATTTATATTTATATTTGTAAATATTCGTTTATTCATTGTTTTGGAGCGACGGAGTCTTTCCAGCACGTGATTGGACAAATTTTGAAAATATTATTGAAAGATTTCAACGTTTTGAACCTGCAAGTTCATACAACCCAATCATCAATCATTACGGACTACGTAATGCGTTGTTAACATTGGTCTTGACATCTATTATACACTACACAAATTGACGTCTGAAGCCTGTCGAATTTTGATTTGATTGCCCATATCTTTGTGTGCAACCCGAACTTTTTGACAAGATTTTGTGTACAAGTTCGAAACCAATCAACGGAAATTGAAAGTGCTTTAAAGTTATTTGGGCGAGATTTAAACGTCTTTTTTTTTAAATTGACGTCATTATGATATATTAAGAAATTGGTAATCAATTAGACAATTAAGGGTTACATCAATCATCATTTATGCGTTTCACAAACAAAATAGAACTGATTGATAAAAAGAGTCAGATAAGCAAAGATCATAAATAAAAATATATTTTCTTTGTCGTTAAAATTCATAGAATATTCTGAAGTGATTTATTAAATAAAAATATGTGACTTTTTTTGGAGATGAATCAAAATATTGGTGATAAGAATGCAAAATTTAATTTGAAACGAAATGAAATTGATTACATTACTACTGACAAGCAAACAAAAAGGCGGATTACGATATTGCACAGAAGCATAATCGGTACTTTTCAAATTATATTATACTATTTTTTTATTTCCTATTTATAGTATTATTTTTCATTTATTGTCAAAGAAAAGTTATATAAATGGTTGGTCGCAAAGCCCGAGCGAACCCTTTCTTGTATTACCTTTAAAAAATCATTTCTTGGTAAAAGAAATTAAGTATTAAAAAGGAAATGAGTTTCTTCAATTTCTTTCTGTTGTTAAAAATGGATTCTTGTGATCCTAAAAACGCATTAAATTAAGCAAATGTATTAAAAATCGCATGCCAAGAAACAACAATCATACTAGTGCTACAATACAAGATATAACTTTAAATACCCTAAAATCTTGTTATAAATTGGGTTTCTTTTCCAAGGACTTTTTTGATTTTTATTTATTTAACCTTTACTTCTTTATCCTCATCTTTAGCATTTATATTCGTCTTGAAATTCTATTTTTTAAAAAAAAATAAATATATAACATTTCTTTAACATCCGAATAAAAAAAAAAAATGGAACAAACCTTAACTCCTAAATCTGAAAAAAGACTTACACGAACAAGATCTGAAGTCCGAGAAAGTAAATAAACAATGATTAAACTTTTAACCTTTACATAATTTAACGTTTATTAACCTTTTAACATCTATAATAGTGATTGATGATAATGTTACTAGTGTCTCCAAATCTTCCGATTCTGAATTAATCTTACCTGTCCCAATCACTTTCTCCGAGATTGAAGAGAATCTTCAAAGGCTTCTTGATAGTAACAAAGCTTGGGCTAAATCAATTACAGAAACGAAACCGGAATTCTTTACTACCATGGCACAAGCACAACATCCAAAGATCGTTTGGTTTGGTAAATTTTTTTGATCGTCATTTTTGATCGACATGTGATTTTCCTAAAACAAAAAAAAATATCATTCCTAAATTTTTTTAAAAAATTGGCATATATATTGTATGTAGGTTGCTCCGATTCTCGCGTTCCAGCTGAGACTGTGGTTCAATTAGGACCTGGTGAAATTTTTGTTCACCGAAATATCGCCAATCAATTTAACCACGCTGATTTGAATTCATTGTCGGTTTTACAATATGCGGTCGATCATCTTAAAGTCGAACACATCATCGTTTGTGGTTAGTAATTTTGTTTTTTATTTTTTTTTTACACGTAATTTATTGAATTTCCGTTTGGATATTTATTTGAATTTACGCGTCTTTTTGTTTAGGACATTATGGATGCGGTGGTGTGTTGGCTGCAATGTCAAATAATCAACACGGTTTGGTTGATAACTGGTTAAGAAACATTAAGGATGTTTACTGGATTAACAAATCAACGATAGAATCCTCCGAACCCGAGAAACGAGCGGACAAACTTGTAGAATTGAATGTTAAACAACAAGTTTATAATATTGCGGCTACAAGTATCGTTCAAAGTGCCTGGGCTGATGGTAGGAAATTGGAAATTCACGGATGGTCTTATCGTCTTGACAATGGAATATTGAATGATTTGGAAGTAGATATAAAGGGTGAACAAGATTTAAGTGATCATATTTATAAAGTTTATTGCCGTAATCATCATATACATGGAAGTCATGCTCACGGTCATAATCATGAACATGGTCACCGCCATGCATAATCTATTTGAATTTTGACGTTAAATTGAAAGTTCATTTTTATTTATTTATTTTATTTATTTTTTGGTAAAACTTTATAACTTTTTAGATTTTAAGTTAAGAGTAAATAAAGCAATTTTTATCCTTTTGAATAAAAAAAAATTTGATGTGAATATTATTATGTTAAATTATTTATTTGCGAAAGATTGCATCGTCAAAATGATATTTGAAACTGCGTAAAATGATGATTCTGTAAGCGAATAATGATCCTATATAACCAAATTATTTTTTAAGATAAAACACTTCAAAGTTAATTTAAACTCACGAAATGCCAAAAAACCACAAATATATCAAACGTGAACATTTTTCATATTCTATTAGCCAAAAAAATAAGTAATTACTTATGCTAAGCAGAATGAACGTAATAAAGCAGCAAATTATTTTCATCTTGATGCGAATTAGTTAAGATTGAAAATCATTTACCCTGAGGCTAAAAAAAAGTTGTATGCTTGGCTTATTGAGCAAAAAAAATAAGGGTTAGTTGTTATGCAATTTTACGAATTAAAATGCAAGAAATTTATGAGTCTGAAATTATAGGTTTATATGGTGATTTACAAAAAATTTTAAAACATCAGATCGATGGTTATCCTCCTTTATAAAACGATATATCAAAGATTTCTCAGAAGTTACCAAGTCAAACAGTGTGATGGGTAATTTTACTGTAGAACAAAAAGGAAAAGAAAACTATACAAATTCGTAGCACCGATAATGAAAAAACAGTGGTTTTGATGTGCTGCAGGTAGGGTTGGTAAAAGTCCTAATTGGTCCTAATTGGTCCTAATTAATTTTAAAAAAATTATTAGTTTTAAAGATTAAA